AAAAAAAAAAAAAAAAAAAAAAAAAAAAAAAAATGTCCAGTTTTAAAAGCAGGGACGAAGCTCTCAACAATACATGCCATAGAGAAATGTGAATATAGGCAATGATGATCTAAAATAAAATAATCCTGAAATCTTATTTGCAATTTGGGTATCTCCTCAACCATTGCTATGCAACTCAATCATATGCCCAGTTCTTTTTCTCTTGTATTTAATGACTCACTAACCTAACAGAAAACATTCACAGTTCTGTGAAATTTTCTACAGCATTTAATCCCAAAGGTTCTGAATATACAAGAAAAAAGTATAAGAAGAAGATGGAGCAGTTTATAGAGAGATGTGAACTCATAACATATCTGGGTGCCAAGATGACCAGAAAATACAAGGAACCTCAGTTTAGAGCCATTGACTTTGATCATAAATTACAGACCTTTCTCTCTCTCAGGAATATAGACCCCATTAATGGATAATTTGCTTAAGTAACTGCAACCTAAGTCTCAAGAGTTATCTCAAAGTGTTAGAGGGAAATCAAGAGAAGTAGATTGAAAATCTGGTCCTCTCTGAAATACTTTTCCGTCCTGCGTGATGGACCACAGCTGCAAGACTTCCAGTGGACTCAAAGGTCTGCCAGCCAGAAGGAGTGCTCTTCTGCAAGCATAAGTTTTAATATAATTTTCAAGTTTATTGCTCTTTGCCTGAACTTTGATGCTTTAATGAAATAGACATTCCGTTTAGAATTTCATTTAGTATATTTAGGTAACTTATTTCATTTAATAAATTTATTGTTTATTTTCCTTAACATTTTCTGTAGAAAAATCAGTCTCTGTTAAAGAAAATCACTCATTAAATGTTAGAAAGCTTCAAGAAAAAAAGTTAACATTGATATAAGTAAAACAGGAATATTGGTTATATTTTTACATAAGGAATTGTTTGTAAACTTTGTGAATATAAGACCCTATCATTTTCCTAACAAAATGAATGGATTGTGTGATAACTGACTGACTGACTCTTTTCTTTTTCTTGCGTATTCACTGAAGCATGCTTTATACCTTATTTTGTAATTAGAAATCACCTAGAGTTTTAAGAAAGAAGTCCCTGAGCTGAGCATCAAATGCCATGTGATTCTCCCCCTCCATCCCTCTCTCCAATGGGTCTCTTTCTCTGAATAAATCTATGTAACACAGTGCAGCAGTGGAGAATCAAGTTCCGCAGAGTAGCTTATAGCTCTGGACATCCCAGGTCTCTTAACAGTCACATGAATATACAGTTAGTTATTAGGACTTTATTTAGATTAACTACAGACAGGGCTACCATTTCCAGGCTGTGGGCTATGTACCAGATAGTGTGCTACTGGCTTTGCATGCATTATCTCATTTATTTCTTCTATATTGCATTTATACATGTGAGAAGAACTTCTATTGTTGTGAGGTGCAGTTCTCAATAAGGCGGACACCACACAAAAATACTTGGGGGTTGTGGAAGGTTTATTTCTCCTGCCGGCTGGCGGCTGTCTCCCCAGCCAGTCTGGATAGAGTGCAGCCCCCAGCCTCATTAGGGAAAGGTTCTTATAGGCATAAACCGCATCCTGTTTGGCATACAGGATGTTCTGCAAGGCAAGCAAGCTGGTTTACAGAAGCTGAAATATGCAGGTTATAGCAGAGCATAAAATTTTCCACAAAAAAAAACCATGTTTAGTTTAAATGGGTCACTGGTTCTGAGTTAAACCTAGGTAAAGAAGCTTCTTGAGTAAGGGTCTATCACACCTGGGTGTAAGGGCAGGAAATGTGGTTACTTGAGGAGGCGTCTGCTTTAGAGAGCAACTCTGTGTCTCATCTCCACAGGAAAGAGCTGGCAGTCTGTGTTTTTCTTGCTAACACAGGCACAGGCTTGTGACCATAGAGCTATAGAGTGTAGAAATGCATTTAGCTGTTTTTACAACTGGGACAAAGATGGAGTCAGTCATGTTAACTTGCAACACTATCTAACCCAACATCACATAAGTAGGAGAATCCAAATTCAGACCCTGATCAACCTAACCACAGAGTCTTGCTCTTACCCTACCCACCTCCTACATGGTAAGCACATCTTGGAAACCACCC